GCCAATTTTTCATAATCAAATTTGATATAAGTCCATATTCTAGACAGTTTTGTTTGCTGTACGCATGCACAAGAAAATTTTTATATGCAATCATATATAACTATGCAGATAATTGTGTACTCGTATAGCAAAGAGTATTACCTACAACAATATTATTATATGTTGGACATCCCTGGTTTAGACAGTAAAACTGATTGATCAATTTTATGAAGTTCCCTTTTTGACGTTGTTGAATCGAACTGTCAATTTCTTTATATCGAACTGAATATTTGTGACTTTTACTCATCATGCGAATTGAAAATTATGCCCACACAAAACTAACACACTGAAGGTGAGAAGAAGCCAGTGCACCCTGTATGTAGTTTTAAATAATTTGTAAAAATTTGAATTTGTTGAAATTGAAAACTTCAGCGACTGTGTGCGTTATATTACTGCGTTCGAAATGGCGGTAGAATAAACGTCATTAGCATTAAACTTTCCAGTGCAACAAGATATAAGGAAAAACAAATAGTCAGACGAATAAACAGACAAGCGGATAAAGTGACGGACGGACAACTGGTTTATAATATTATAGGAGTTTATTTTTCTGACTGGTTGCCATAGTTGTTTCCGCCTTCAAGTTCTAAGCGGCTTTCTACAGCAGCTTTCGGTGTAATTTCAATTTTCTACCAATTGCAACGGCAGCAAAGTTAATAGCTGCTCATGTACCGTTATAAATGCAGCTCCAAGAACCCGAGCAACAAGAGTGTGGCAAGTTTTGTACCGAAGTTGCTCCAGCAGTTAGAACTTAGTAAGTAGTTAGCAGGAAAATTCAATGTAAATAGAAACTAAAATGCTATGCCAGGCATATGTTGCACGGGTTGGTCTGAGCTTTGCGACAATTTGCTGCATTGGTAATTTTGCATATTATTATGGCCATCAAATTGCTTCCCTAACCTTGCATAACTACAAGTACTGATGTAGAAAATTGTCGGTAGTTACGTTCCCAAAGAAATCTTAAGAATTTCGCAACCAATTGTGCAAATAAAAAAAAAATATAAAACAAAATTATTAATAATATAATTTGTAACAGAATTCTAGCGGAACGCTGTATGAAAACGATTTACATTATTTTTTTTTTTAAATTCTCTTAAGTGCTTGGAAGTTATCTTCTTTTAAAGAAAATTTTACCACAAAAGCAGCCTAAGAAACTTTTGGCTTTGAATTTGTGTAAAAAAGATATTCTTAATAAGCATTTCACTAAATAAAAATTTTTTATACAAGCAGTATATCAATAATATTTCGTTATATTAATTTAAAAACGCTTTAACTCATTTTTATATACTTTTATATGGTAAAATCTGCTTTAGAGCTAATCACTTAAACTATGAAAATGTCAACTTAAGTTTTACATCTTGAATTTAAGTTAAAATCTTCGAAGATTTATGACCTTGTCCCAGCAGCCGTTTTACTGCTCTATTCTGGTTGAAAGACCACACACTCCATTACAGTTGAGATACTTCTGTGTTGTTATTGTTGTTGTTTTTAAAAAGACAACAAAAAAAATTTAATTAAAAATTATAAATCACTTTTATCTAACACACTTGCGTATTTTGATTATTCTTCTGTTAAGCACTTGTTAAACTACTTTGCCTTGTAAAACTAATGCTTGAACTAGATTCGGATTTTTAATCTCAATAAAATTTCTTAAATTTGCACTTTCTTTTTTGTTCACCACTTGATTCAAATGTTCTTATCTTGCTTTTGTTTTTTAATTGCCTCTCGTGCCATTTCTTCCAACTCATAATGAACTCAAAATTTCTGACCTCAATATTTCACTTTGTTATGATTTCAGAGGCACCACCTACACACTATCATTAGACCGTAATGAGTTGGACCTGGGCTTTGTGCCCATACGTTAATTGACCTTATATCACCGTAAGCAAATTTTCACTTTTATCTTTCTGCGAAATTGGTCAGCATGAAATTCATTCTATGGCACTGTTGCTACATATTGTGTCCATAATGTGGAAACAAACTTAATTATATAGTTGCAATGCATGAGAGTTTTAAACAGTTATTAAAATGGATTATATATTTTTAGCATTTAAAAAATTACAAACAAAATGAAAAAAAGGGTTATTTGGTTAAAAATTTGTAAAATTTAAAATGTTGCAAGTGTGATGCTTTCGATAGGAATTTCCACTTCATTAGATTAATTTTACCATTCATTAGTATTAATGGGACAAGTTTGAGATTCTATATGTTAGAATTATTGCATTCTTCCTTTATATACTGGAATTTGAAGGACATCAGCGTCGTTCTTTTCTTCTGTTCCTTGGAAAGTTATTAGTAAAAATTTTACTCTGTGTCGTCGTTCTATTCTGCATTTGTAAATTATTGCTAAATTATTTTAGAATGAGGTGTTTCTTCTATTATTCTTAAAATATGATTAAATTCATTTAATCCAAGCTTTTTGGTATATTAAATGACTGTATTCAATTTTTAACTATTAAATCATGTCTTTAAATTTTATGTTCTGCTAAACAAATGAATATATATCTATACTATAAGTTAATTCAAATATACACGGTGATATATAAAGTTATTTGAACAAACGTATCGTTAAGTACCAATAACATTCATGGACGTCTATTCGTGGCTTCTTTGTGCCAACTAGTTTAACATACGTAATAACATAATGCAATAACATATTTTTGAATGAAATAACGTTTTAATTAAATTACCTTTTAAATTGTTACATCCACCAATCTTTCCGAATCTGCAACAAATAATTTACTATTATATTATTTACTGATGTATATATAATATTTAAAAAATTTATAATATAATTTTAGATATTAGATAATTTTAGAATATTAATTATGGAGCAATCAAGACGATTAAAGTGTTTGAATGAATAAGGTTTCAAAGTAAAAAGGAGCTCCTATTCTTGAGCTCATTTATATCTCCCAATAAAAACAACATATCTTTCTACAACATAGATATATAATTTTCTCAATATGAGACAATCTATAAACCTATAAAGATTAAAGAATTAAGGTAACACTAAAATGTCAATCTTACAATAGCTGAATCATCATACATAAAAAATCAGGTTGCTATATAAATATCATTCTGTGAGTTGATAACCCTATATTGTATTGCGTATGCGTTTTCAGCGTAGTCTATTATCTATTATTTTTACATCAGCTGTTTTTTATCATAGTCTATTTAGAATCTACGCTTGTTTGAAAACATTCCATTCTTTTAGGTTTTATACTTTTTCTTTCAAGTTACGAATATTCAATAGTCTGAGATGTTGCCAAAGACTGCCATCTCACGTTTTATATGTATGAAAAACTATTTCAAAGATTCCAGAGATTTAATCAAAGACTTGATTAAAAAAATGGGTAAATTCAAAAATTAATATTAATATGCCTCTGAATTTATAAAAAACTAAATTAATTAAGTTGGAATTGTAAAATAAATAGATTAAGGAAAAAAAGTTTATTCAGGAGACAAAAAAAAAATCTGGGTGAAGTGCAGGTAACGAATTTCCATCAGAAGTTTGTATTTACAAAGCATGTATTTGGCTAGGCCAGATGTTGTGGAACAGAGCTAGCCTTTGACTAGAGAAAATAGGTAGATATAAAGGGTTGAGAAGAGATGATGTGGGACCATCATAAAAACTGTAGGGTTCTTGAGGACTAACTATGATTCGGTGTCTGTAAGTTATAAAGGTGTATACAAGTGTTAAACATGAAAAGACCACGACTTATTTTTGTGGAGTTAGTCTAGGCGAAAGCGGGTTTGCGTCATTTGGATTGGAGGAACGATAATGATGTTGGAGGAGCTGACAATTTTGTTTCTTTAATTTGTTAATGTAAGCATTTATCATGTTATTTAGTAGTACCGGTTAACTTTATACACAGAACGTATTTAATAAAACATCATGTTTTCATTGATTGGTTTCGGTTTTTACAAATATGTTTAATACTTTATAGCTAAAAATGTTTGCTAAACTATTTAGCTTGCTAAGCTTTGTATAGTATGTATCTTCTTCACTAAACTGATTTCATTATGTACTGGAACGAAATTTGTATCTTGGCTACTGCAACAGCAAAATTTAAATGAAAAATAAACTGGAGGAATTCTCGCTGCCAAGAGTAAATTGAATTTTATTGTTACTTTTGCTGATACGGCTAAGGTTTCAGTAACTTATCTAAGCTGTCCTCTGCCAATTTTTTGTTTTTTTTTTGTTGTTTTATTTGCTTGCTATTTCAGTCAATGTGGTTCCTATATGGGTGTGAGAAGGTGCGAAGGCGCTTGTTGTTTCCTAAAATAGTTCATGTGAAAATACATAAATAAAGATTTGAAGTCTTACAAGTAACGTGCATTTGGCAGTAAAATATGTGGAAAATTGTGCAAATATATTTAAATAAAAAGTCAATATTTATGTTAAGAAAGGCAAGAGTAACGAGCAACAAGAAAATAAATAACACGTGTTTGCAATTATTGTCAAAATAGCAGCAGCAAATGAAGGGTTCAATAGCAGCCAGCAGCCATCGTAGTTCGGCTTGGCAATCACTTGAGGAACAGTGCTATTCACAAGACTTCTTGCACTTCCAAGAATATCTTGTAAACATACTAAAATTGTGAAAAAACGCTTAGTAGCAACTGTTGCAGTTCAACTGCACAGTTTCACATAAATTGTCATTGCAAGCAAAGACAGAAAAAAAAGAAAAATTGCAAAAGAAATTGCAACAATTGCTATTACAAAGGCTAAAAGATTAGGAAGCCACAGTACCAACAGCAGCAGCAACAACAGCAACAGCAACAGCAGCAGCAACAGTGGCGGCATTGAAGGAAACTGCAATATTGATTTATTGTTTGTCAATTGCACTTTAAGTGTTGCTGTTGCTGTTGTAGTAGTAAAAGTTTTGCCAGCAATTATAAAAATAAAATGTTTGCAACTGTTGCTGCATTCTTCATTTCTGTTGGGTTCAGCGCAGAAAATTTATTTTTTGTACTTAGTGCAGCGATTAAAAGTAGGCAAACTAATGGCCGGTCAAATAAGATTTCTCTTTTCAGTTTCAAGTATAAATTCTACATTTCTTTGGTTCTGAAATACTCGTGTGTGAATAAAAGCAATAATGAAAAAATAAAAAAACCACAAGAAAAAGTTGATTTTGACTTTTTGTTAACACATTTAACTAAAATGACACTAAAGTGATTTATATTGTTAAAGGTCGTGCGGTTAACTTTTGTTTACTTATTTTTTACAGTGTAGCTTTGTAGCTTCAAAGGTAGACACAGTTTAATGGCACTTCTCATGTCAAGAACTCAGTGGTAAAGGTTGTTTTTACACAACAAAAACACTACACTCTAAGTAAACCGAACCATTCAGCAGTGAAAAATTGGGTCACATGATGTAGGCAATTATAGTCGCTGAATTTTATTGTATCCAGAAAATCAAGTAAATTAAAGCTTTTAATTAAGTAATTTAATTTGTTTAATATTACTATTTTTTTGTGCTAAACCGTTTAACCCAATTTCAATTGGAAGCCTGTCTGAGCCGCTACCACATACGCATGTAGCCAGCATTTAATTTCTAGAGATAATTGCCAAAACACGTTCTTTTATCTGTGGACCAGATTATCTAGATATTGCAATCATTAAAGTATGTGCGAATTTTAATTAACAAATGCCGTCTTCTGCTTGTGGCACGGCATTATTCAATGTTCATGAAATAAAAAAGAAAATATATTAAATGAGAACAATAAACTAATATAATTTAGACACGAAAATAATGTATATAATTGGAGAAAATAGTTTATAATACATTATAGTATATAATTTATATATATACAATTCGTTATATATACTCTATTTTAACAATTTATTATTAAACATAAATAATTTGTTTTATCCATTGAATCTATTTATTAAAGTAACAATAAGGAATATTTTCATAGTTGTATTCACAAACACATTATCATTTTATGTCGTTTTTATGTTTGGTTATAACGACGGTTGTAATGATCCATTTAGGACTATTACGACACCAAAATTATGTTACATGTTAACAAATACAAGGGTTTCGATCATGAAAATAACATACGTAATATAACATTATACTGGGTTATAATGACTCCATTTAGGATTTTAGATTTTAGGGATCCATTTATGCGTATCGCGATTATAAGAAATTAAATAAAAAATAATTATTGTAGTCTATTATTATTGATTTTACCTTTCGTTAGCATAAAAAATGTTTTAAGCCATCCCTGGTTTTCGATTACAATTTACCTCCAAAATTAAGAAATAATGTGGTTTTTTGAAAGATTTTGGTTTAAGTATATTGGTTATAATATAACAAAATTTCACCTAAAACGGTTATACGAGCATGAAGTTTTTAATTTGATTTATGTTCATTTAAAAGTTATATAATTAAGAAATAAATGAGCTTTAAACATTACTATTTCTGTAAGTTACAACTCAAAATTATTATGAATTTTCCTATAGTTTTCTTATAGTTTTAGTTTTCCTTAAGTTTGCATCTTTTAATTTAACAATATTAGTATATATAATAATATATTTGTTTATAAAGACATAAACAATTAAATTTTTTTTTTCAATCTTCGACTAAAGGTAGAAAAAAAAGAGTTCTTGCATAAATGAAGAAAATAAAAAATATTTAATTTTAAAAAATAAATAATATAAATAAAAATTTTCATTTTTAATATTTTCTTTTATAATCAAATATTTATTTAATTTCATAAAATGGTAAAATAAAACTATAAATTTGAAGCTATCTATCTCTTTGAAGCAAATCTCTTTGGCGTATAAGGTTGCAAGAATTTATGGGAGTGCACAACTTCTACCTTATATTTTTTATAAAATAATACCTAAGCGGCATAGTTAAGAAGCAATAGGTCCCCAATGGCTACTTTCATTAACTTATGTATATTTCTATGATATAAGCATATGAGTAATATTACACAGAGTGATGCAAGTTCTTATTTTAATTTTAATAATAATATAATTGTAAATAGAGTTCATCTTTGGGAAAGTATTTAAGTTACTATAATAAGGACATTATTAACCTTAAAATAAACATCATTAATTCATAAATATTTACTAAAAATTAATAATGAAACGGGCTAAGTAATAATTTTAAAAACACAATTTCATAACTTTTTGAAATAGTGTTTTTTGTCAAGACTATTTTCCGATATATCGACTACTTTTGAGGATCTGTATTATATGCTTCCTAAAAAATATTTTAGTATCAACAAATTTAAATATTTTGCACTTATTAATAACAACATATTCCAAAAGTCCAAAATAATTTCATGCCAAAGCCAACAAAAAAAAAAAAACTACAATCATAAATCTTCATCTGCAATGCTTCAGAGCAAACCAAACTCATCTTTAGATGGATGTTACACAAGTTTGGCACTTAAATTGTAATTTGTCAAATGTTAACACTTTAAATTTCACTTTTAACATAATTGTTAAAATTGTAGATACATTTTACCGCTATTTTTATGCGCCATTAACATATGTTTTGTACTGCAAAATAGTCAACAATGTAGCAAAACTAAACTTGGTTTTAAGTTAAAACCAAATTCGAAATGATAACTCGAACTTAAAAATTTTGAAATAAAAGTTGAGGATGTCTCAGTTTTTTTTTTTTTGACAAAATTTTATTGCAAAATACAGGTCATGAAATTATTTTTATGTACTATATATGCCATATGACGTCAATAATATTTTATTTATTTTAAACAATAAAAAAAATTTACTTATATAATGAAATTAGAAATGAATAGCAAATAAGGAAGAAATTTTTGAGTTTGTTCCATAATTTTGGATGAGATACTTACCACACAAATTTGCGACTATTGTCTACTTAATTAATTTTGTTTCAAATTTATTTCTAACATTCAACACTTTTAAATCTACTGTGAACACTTTAAGTTTTCTTTATAATTTAAAATATTGTATTTACTGTTAAATTATTTATTCTAATTATTTATTACGTATGCGTTAACTTTGCTGATAGGCAATAATGTCCTCTATTACTTTTAATAAATAAAAGTAATAGATAAACGTTTATTTTACAAACTTCATTTACATGAAATTACCACTACTATAAATATCTCAAGCAGTATGATACACGAAATATCTAATAAGCAAAATATGTATATGTTATTTCTCACCTAGCCTCTCGTAGAGATATCTTTAATTCTTTTCAGTTTAGAATATGCAAATGGGGCACAAGCACACTTGATTTTAATTTAATTCAATTAATTTTTTTAGGTTCATTTGAAAAACATTAAATCCGAATTCCTTCCGGCACCACTCTTATTATTATGACCTAAAATTTAGAGTTCATTTCCAACCCTCTTGTTTACTAGGCAACCAGTTATCTTGTTTACTTCTTTTTAACTATTCTATTGAAATCCTTTCCACTTAATTTCTGTCAGTCCAACTGTATGAGATCAAATTGAAATCCATTTCTTTATCCATCAACCACCCCAAGACGAGAGTTACAGAGTTGAGTTGTCCGATTATGGTGCAGATCAGCGCTTCAAATTCAAAAAATTTAAGATAACCGAGCATATTAACCTCTATCTGCTCTTAGTTATTGGAATGAAGTCTATATCATTAGTTTATTATAGACAGATAGTTGCAATCACACCGTAATTTAAATATTCTGAGGTTTATAGTTTAATGTCTTACGGAGGATTCCGATGCCTTCCACTAGTTCAAAAAAAAAAGCAAAAATAATAAATACGTATGCATTTAACATCCCTGACCTAAACCAGCAGACAGCAGTAAATTAAAAATACAAGGTTGTTCGAAAAGTGATTTAGTTTTTCCTTTTATAAAAGTGAAAAACAATTTCTTCTTCTGCTTCTAGTGAATAAATATTTTATGAAATAGTATATATTATCTATTTTGCTTTAATACTTTTTGCCAACTTTCTTAGTAGCATGACTCCACGTTCATAATTTTTTGTTCTAGCAAAAAACTAATTCAGGCGCCCTTTGAACTTCTCATTTGATTAAAGTTTTAATTGGAAAGAAAGAAAATAAAAATGTATTTTTTTCTTTGATAGTTTCAACTGCTTATTTAAGCTATCCTTAAATAATGACTACAGTATCATTTTTCACAGTGCATTCAAGTTTAATTTTATTATTTCTGTCAAACTACTTCGTCAACTTACAGTTGTTGAATTTTTCCAACTAATTAAACTTTCTTCGCAAAATACAGAAAAACTATTACTTTCAAATTATTTACAATATATGTGCACCATTGAATTTAGACGTTTGGTAGTTCGTTCAAATAAAAGAAACGTTTGACAAACTTGGTTCGACGTTTTCCATTGTCAACGTACTAATCTTCATACTGCAAAATCCTGCTCCACACTTATATAAACAACAACAAAACAAGTGCAACTAATAGACCCGGCGACAAAGCCTACAACTGTGAAAAGCAAACAATGCCGCCGCTTTCTACAATTACACTTTTACTTTTATTGCAGCAATTGAAACTCTTTGAACCACTTTTCTATTGCTTTCAATGACTGCTACCAAAGCCAGCCATCGATACCAAAATTGTGGCTACTAAATTATTAATGACGAAAACCGTAATTTGGCATATAATCAAGCAATTTCAAACCGTACAACAACAACAACTACATAAATCTTTTGTTATTTTGGCATTCAAAAAAAACAAAATACAAATATTCAAAAACGATTTTCACCATTTTTGGCGGGGAAAAACGAAATTTGCTTTTATTAAGTGACCATTGAGCGCCTTTTAAGTACCATATAAAATAATACAACATTACAAAAAAATTATAAAGCACATAAATAACAACAAAAAATAAACAATAAACAATAAACAATTTTACAAATAATTTGTTAAAGCCGAAAATGTTAAAATCGCTTATATATTGCTACTTCTGTATCTTCCCTTGCCCGCGTCGACGGGTGTGTATCTATGGGTTTATGTTGGGCTTTGCCGATTTTACACTTTAATGACTTCAACGCCTTTTCAAATGAAGATTTTCGTTAATGATGATGGCACTTTAACTAATTTTCGCTTTTGAAACTTTTAGCTTTTAACGGTTACGGAAAAGATTCATTGCATTTTTATGGGAAATCAGCTGAATTGCACCTCGCACTGCTTCAATGCATTTGCGGCTGACGGAGCTTGACCGGAGTGCATCAATATATTTTGTACGTTGGCTAACATAATGGGTTTTCGATTTTGGTGTACTTGGAAATTGAGAGCAAATTTTTCTTAATGTATTTTTTTTCCTTTAAATTTTATTTTTTAATCGTTTCATTTATGCTGTTATTATGTAAAATGTGTTGAACGACGCAGAAATCGGAATGGAGTTTCAAAGGGACTTTTAAAAATTAAAATTGTGTGTAATGAAGATTAAATTGATTATAAGCATTGCTTGTAATCAAGAGTGCAACTAATTTAATAGTTTGTGCAAGTAAAAAATGAAAGTTCACTCGTTCAAACTAGTTAAATATTGGCTTGGAATACAAAACAGAAACAGAAACACAAAAGATTAAGAAAACAAACTTGTTTGTTAAACGAAACACGGACCAACAACATAACAAGTTGTTGTAAAATCGTATCTAACCTTTTATTTTGACCTTTTCGAACACGAAAATTGTTGTAGTTAATTTGTAATATGTCTTCTTTGAGCCGCAAATGCATATTTTAACGATATTATAACATATTAA